GGTGTTAAATTTGTATTCTAAATCTTGCTCAATGTATTTATCAGCTCTAGGAGTTTTCTGGTAGATTTTCTTCAGGTTCTTTATGGATAGAATCATATCATCTGCAAATAAGATACTTTCCTATTTATATCTCCTTCATCTAAGTCACTTGTCTTTGCTTAGCTCTAGATTGGATTTCCAGTACCATGTTGAACAGGAATAGGGAAAGTTGATATCCTTGACTTGTTCTTGATTTTCTTGGCATACTTCAAGTTTTTATTCATTTGGCATGAAATTCGGGTGTTGTATACTGCCTTTATTATATTGATATGGCTCCTACATCCTCAGATTCCATAGTACTTTTATTTAAGAAGAGACAGATTTTTTCTAAGGCCTTTTCTGAGTCTGATAATCATGTGGTTCTCTCCTTGAATCTATTTATGTAATGTATTTGGGCTTTGTGTGGGCAACCAGCCCCGCACCTCCAAGATGAAGCAGGTTGATTGACAGTGATGATTGTTTTAATTGGATTTATAATTCAGTTTATAGGTATTTTACTGAGAACTTTTATATCTATATTCATCAACTAGGTTGGCTTATAATTCTTCTCGAAGTAGGGTCTTTGTCCTGATTTTTCAGGTTTGGGGTTCTTCAGCATTTCTACCTGTATTTTCAAATCTTGCAATTTCTTTTCCCATCTCATTCAAATCTTTGTTTTGTTCTCTTGGATTTTATTCATGTCTTTGAATTACATGAACATTGTTACAATCATTCCTTGAACCAATCATTGAATTCTTTAGTAATTCTTCTAAGTAATTTTCATTCAGTGTCATTATTATGGGCTCAAAGATTTATGGAAAAAACACATACTGATTTTATTTGTGGGCTGGAACTTTTCTCCTTGATTGAGGGTTCTGTCTCTTTTTTGTGATTTTTTTTGCAAATATCTTAATCACTTTTTTGTGATGATGCTTGCAATGTTCATAGAAGGACTAAGTCATAGTAGGGTTGCTGTGTCTTTTCCCTATGCTGACCTGGCATTTAAAGTCAGAGCTTCAATTTCCACTCTTCCTCTGAGGGTAAGGCTTTATTTTATGTCATCTAGGACCTTATATCTGGAATTGTGACTTTTCCTGTGATTTGGTGATCTTTTCATATACCTGAGAGCCAAAACCAAGATCAGATCTGGTCATGAGGTGATTTGAGATTTATAGTTTCAAACACACTTGTGAATTTGAAGTAAATATCTGCTTCCCTCCCCTGGGTCTGCAGATTGCTGAAGCAATTATAAGGGGAAGAATCACCAATACAAGTAAGTTTTATAGCAGCTTAGGACGGATCCCTATAAGAAAACTTTTGATTAGTGGACAAAAATTTTTAAATTCAAGATTATTTAAATGCCTCCCTCAATCATTTAAATTGGTTAGCTGTCCATCATAAATGCTATTGATCTCAGCATAAAGTCTAACAATGAAAAAATGTTCAGAAATCTTTGTCACTTGGAATTCTTTATAATGTTATTGATGAGATAATGATGTGTTATTAAAATTTATGGATATTCCTTATTGGTGAGAAAGCTCAGCCAATAAAGTACTTTGCTGTGAAAACATGAGACACCGAGTTATGTTTCTGCTTCCCACATAAAATGCCAAGTATGAATGTTTATAACCACAATCCCAGTGCTAACGGACTACAGACGACAGAATTCCTGGCGCATTGTCACCGCAGTTCACAAGTTCTGGGTTCATTAACAGACATTGTCTCAAAACAATAAGGTAGAGAGTGATTTAGGAAGACATTTGACATCAACTCTAGTCACCACATGCACTTACACAAAAATTCGGACACTCTCATTACAGGTATACACATGCAAAGACAAGTGATCACAAACACAAAATTAATCCGTGCTAAAACACTTTATTTTTGTGTCTGTTGATGTTAATAAACTTGTATTTTTAGATAACAAGATTGTGGTTCCTGATTTGCCATTTACAATTATTATATTTTACCAGAACTTTGTAGGAATCTTGGGCAATTGTTCACTTCTGTTTCATGATGTCATGTCTGTATTCACAAGGAAGAGTTTAATGCCCAAAGACAAGATTATAAAGCATGGGGCAATTGCCAACTTCTTGTATGTGATCTCAAGAAGCATGGATCAGATAATAGTTGAGCTTGGGCTAAAATGTTCCCTGGATGGCAATGCTTGTAAATTTCTTCTATACCTGTATAATGTAGCTCGGGGAGCTTCTCTTCATTCCTCAAGTCTCCTGATTTGCTTCCAAGCCATCACAGTGAACCCCAGCAACTTTAGATGGATGAAGTTTAAACACAGAGCTGCCAAGTACATTGTTCCCCCTTGTTCTCTCAGCTGGCTTGTACATCTACTTCTAAACAGCAGAATTATTATGAGTATGACTGCCCTTGGTACCAACATAAATTTCACTAAGAAATTCAATGGGAGCTCCTGCCTAACATTTTTTTCTGGCACCAATGCAGCCCTACTATATGTATTCTTGATGTGTTTCATTGACGTTCTCTATCTGTGCGTCATAGTCTGGTCTAGTATCTCCTTGCTGAGTTTCCTGTACAGGCTCAAGAAGCACATACAGTATATCCACAGTGCACAGAATTCCTTCAGTGTCTCACCTGGAGACAGAGCCACCGAATCCATCCTGAACCCAGTGTGCATCTATGTCACCTACTACTCAATGTCCTTCACCCTCACATTATACATAGTGCTCAGCGGCGAACTAAGGATGTGGCTGATGAGCTTAGTCGGACTTTTAGATGATTGTTTCCCTACTATTTCCCCTTCATAGTAATTA